TTTTTTTTTTTTGTTCTTCGGTTACATAATTATCACAAACCACACCTGAGATGTAAGCCTAATTGTAAAAACAATAATAATGAACAATAAAAAAACAAGTTATCTTTCAGCATTCCTAAAACATTTATAGTATAAAAAATACCCGCCTTGTTGAGGTCCAAAATCGCTTAATCAATCACATCCTTCCTTCATGAGCGTAATTAGTAAAAACTGGAGTAAACAAATATTAAAATGCAATATGGATTTTACATCTCACTTATTTATTTCACTTTTTCCCCTTAACTTTTTTGGGTTTTGGTGCAGGTTTCATCTGCTTTGTACTGCTTGAGACAAAGAAATACATATCAAGGGAGCATCCCATTGGCATTGCCTAAGCCGGGCTCGTATTCTGCTTATCCTGGTGATGGATTTCCTTTAGACCGAGCTTCATGTCAAACTCATGAACAAGCTTGGCACATGAATGAGATTATAGACAGGTCAACAATAAAAGCTAGGGCAATGGTAGCTGCAGCTGTGCAGGTTCACAAGATTCCGACTATAGGAAACCTGTTATTTTTCACAATGCGAATTATTTGTAGAACAAAGTACAAATTAATTGGATATTTTTGTAACTATAAGCTTTTAATCCTGAGGGGTGGTATTTGTGATTATCCTATAAATATTATGACATGCATTGCAAAGATAAACAAAATCCTGAGGGGTGGTATTTGTGATTATCCTATAAAAAGTATGACATGCATTGCAAAGATATACAAAAAAGTTTACCAGCATTTTAGTTCTAACGATTTTTTATTTTATTATTATTTCAGGCAATTTCATCATTTAATGGTAAAGATGACACAACCGAGAAAATTGAAGAAGCTATAGACCATGTAAATGACCGGCTACGATTGGATGATTCTGGAACACCGATAGTAAGATCTTCCAACCTTTTAACTATTTACCTTAAGTTATCTAACATGGACCTATCAACATCTTGATTTTGAAAATTGTTTTTCAGCCACAAGATTTGAAACAAGAGGATTCGTCTAGCCTCAATGCACAAATTCCTTCGGAACTGATCTCTAAATGTGTTGCGACTTTGCTCATGATTCAGGTGATCTACATCGGAATAATATGTTATTACGTTAATTGCAAAAATCACCACATATCTTACAAAATTAATAAATCCCTCATGGCCAATATGAAGAAATAAATGTCAATGGAGGTATTTAATTATAATTCTTAAAAGAGAGAATGATTTTTTTTTTTTTTTTTTTTTTTTTTTTTTTTTTCGATCAATGGTAAGAGAGGAACCATTAACATGCTGTGTTTTCTAACCCAGTGATCAAACTCGAATTTGTGTATATTTTCCAGAAATGTACAGAACGGCAGTTTCCTCCATCTGATGTGGCACAGATATTAGATTCTTCCGTTGCAAGCTTAAAACCACGCAGTTCGAAAAACCTTCCAGTTTACACTGAGATACAAACGTGCATGGGCATCATCAGGAACCAAATAATGGCACTAATTCCAACATAGTCAACACACAAGAAAAAAGAAGTGTGAAATTGGGTACTCTGTTGTTGACTTGTGGATCTTCAGTGCAAGTGATGATTTGTTTGGTTTATATGTATGAAGCCTTTTTCACCTGAATTTTGAGGTTAATAAGCAGATTACTGCACCTGGAACTTATTTCAGTCACTTCTTGGTATGAATGTTCGCGTAGCACGAGCTTCTGCGGATCAAGACAGGTTTGACAGAAAGTCAGAAATTGCTTATGGGCTCTATAAGCAGTTGCTTTTAAGTTAATCGAGAGTGTGTTATCGAGTGGAAGATTGTTGTTGATTCGTATGATAATTTGAGATGTGAATTAGTGTTGTTTAATGAAATCGACAAAGTTTAGTAGCTTCGTCGTGTGTGCTTGGATTTGGTTTTGAAATTGTATAGCTTCTTGTGTGGCAGCTAGTGAAGTTTTTACTCTTGGAACTATCAGCTGCCAATATATATTGTCTGATTGTTGCATTCTCCCTAAATTATCAATTCTTTTGTATCTAATTGATTGTTGCACAAATGTTTGTCAAATTTGGTGAGAAACTAAAACAAATGAGTGCTAAAATTCTCAAAACTTAAATGCATATATAGTTTTACAGTTTTTCTATGAAGTTAAAAGTTGTATTAATTAATTTTTAATTATTTAAATAAATACTAATTATTTTATTAATATGGTTTGGTTTATTTGTTGTATATAGAAGGTTGTACAATTTTAAAGAATTGCACAGTTCTAAAGATACTTGTATAGCCCTTAAAAGAGTTTCAAATAAAAATAATAAATTAGGTTATGCTTGTTTATAAAACCAATCCAAAAAAATCCAATCATTTTTAACTCAACCATTTTTTTTAATTCAACTTTAACTCAACCCGCTATCATTAATATAATTAAATAATATCAATCAATCATCCAACTATCATCAATATAATTAAATAATATCAATCAATCATTCTTACACACAACATCAACCTTAATTTACTATTCATCTACTCACATAATTTTAACTAATCATCACATCACATCTTCTCTCTCTTACTTTTACATCAATTTAATTTTAATTATTTTATTTTAAATATTATTTTAATATACCCACTAACAATTAACCATACCAATTTTTTCAAATTTAACCAACCCAAACCAAAAACTCAATCAAAACCAAAAAAAATTATAAACAAGCACTCTTAGTAACTCTATTTTCCTTGCAAAATTCGGATTTTATAATATGATTTTCCATCAATTACAACGGTACTAATTTTCTTAATTTAATTAAGAAACATGTCTTTTGTATGTATTACATACTATTAGGCTTATTAAGAGTGAATGCATATGTATAATTTGTTTGGTTACCATTGGAAATAGCTTAAGCACAGTGTTATATCACATACTATACCATATCACTCTTTTATCAGTAAAAAGATTGAATGAATTTCAACCAAACCAATTACATAATTTAATTAAGAAACATGTCTTTTGTGTGTATTACATACGGTTACATCTTATTAAGAGTGAATGCATGTGTATAATTTGTTTGATTACCATTGGAAATAGCTTAAGCCCAGTGTTAACGAATTTCAACCAAACCAACCATGCGGATGTGAAAAATAAAAAGAATAAATACATAATAAAGAATCTTAAAGATCATCAAGAATCATAATTAAATATAACCGTTTTCATCAAGAATCAGTGTGTAACTTGTGAAAAATACCTCAAATTTGAGATTCTCAATATTTTTATAATTAACCAGTATAAACTTAATTGTGCAACTCCCAAATGCCTCAACAAAATAACGAATATTATACCTCGTATTAATTATTTTGGTATTGTTTGTTTAATTTAGTTATGGTTCACTATTGTACTGTCCTCATTTTTGTATTTTTTTTATTATTTTTGCATTTTTTTCTCTTCTATCTTAGTTATTTTATTAGGCCTTAAATAGGCATGCAGTCTGTGCTAAAACATAGCCCACATCTTTTTGCAATTTCATCATTGAATATAAGATTATTTTAAAAATTAACCTCGAATAGTTATCTAGGATTTTAAAAAAATTACCAAAACGCTTTGCAAAACTCTACACTATCTTTCAATATTACATTGCTCAAAAACATATATATAATATACGCTCTCTTTCAATATTATCATTAATAATACTAATATTTTTCTTACTTTCATATATATGTATTGAAACTACAATATTACGATAATTTATGATGTTCATTTCATTAATCCAGAAAAAGGAGAAATTAACTCCAGGCCCGTCTGAAAGGGGGGGCAGCTGGTGCTTGGCCCAAGGGCCTCAACTGGTTGGGGGCCCATGAATATATATACATGTATAGTTATTAGTTAAAAACATCCTATTTGACCATATGGCATCCCTCGCGGCCTCGTTTCCGCTAGGCTTCCAGAAGATCTCGACACCCCCTCAGGGGTTATCTACTTGGTTGGATCACGACCTCCGTGGAGTGGCCCACCCTCGTCGAGTCATTGTTTCATAGTTCCTAGGCCTCCGGCCTCCTCTATTGTACCAAAAAAAAAACATCCTATTTGTACCAAAAAAAAAAAAAAAAAAACACCCTATTATATATTGAGAGAGTGTCTGTCGGTAGAGAGAGATTGAGTGGATATCTTTTTGTGTCAAATCTCGGTTTTACCCATATGAATAGTGTATTTTCTTTTTAGTTGTAGTAGGGAGGGCAATTTAGTTCTCGACTTCTCGGTTTTACAGTAGTTCTCGACTTCTCGGTTTTAGTTTTACAGACTCTTCCTTTGGCTTTCTTATTACTCGGCTTCTTCTTCTTCAGGTAAATTTTTGAATTCGTTTCTTGCATTAGTGATAAAAGAATGAATCTATGGTCGGTTGGATGGATTGGTTGTTGAAATTGTAGATTAAGGTTCTTAAATTAGAAAAAAGAATCACAAATTCTTGTGTTCTTTGTTCATTTTTTTGGGATAATGGGATTTTTGTCGTCATAATTTTCATTGCATATTTTTTTAAAGTAATAATTGAGATTTTTTTTTATTGCAATTTCGTTTTTTAGGTTGTTTTTATGTTGTGATAGGGACATAGGGTTTAGAAACTGAAGGATTTGATTTCTAATTCAAAATATTTTTTTACATGATAGATGTTGCCAAAGAAACATTTGTCTGTTTTCAGAAAAAGAAAAAAAGAAAACAAGAAGATCAATTCAAAGAATCGCAAAAGGGTGCTATAGACAAGTTTTTCCATCTTCAAGGAAAGCCGAAGTCAGTCAAGAACAAGCTGATGGCCGTACAGAGGATCAGAATTTAGATGCACAAGCTCAAGCTGATGCCAATGAAGGTGCTACTGCAACAGGGGAGGAAAATTTAGATGTGCAAGCTGATGGTAATGAGGAAATATTGGGAGGTGAAAATTTGCAGCCTACAGAAAATGTGAATATTGATGACCAAGAAGATTCTATGTTGACTACCTTTGATCCTAAAACATGGGAGAATCTTGACAATAGCAAAAGGGATATCTTGATTGAGAAAGGGCCTGTGAGAGAAATGAATTTACAATTCCCTAGTGATCCTAGTAATAGGCGCTTTTCATATGCTTATTACTCCAGAAAATTAAATAATGGTGAGGTTGTTGACAGGAAGTGGCTGGTTTACTCCAAACATGTGGACAGGGTCTATTGTTTTTGCTGCAAGTTGTTCAACTCAAATCAGAACAAGGCTTTGTTAGCATCTGCTGGAGTGAGGGATTGGAAGCATTTGAGTGACAAGCTCAAACAACATGAGAATAGTCAGGAGCATTTGAAAAACATGAATACATGGAATGATCTCCGGATTAGATTAAGCAAAAATCAAACAATTGATGCTGAAATGCAGCGGGAAATTGTAAAAGAGAAGGAGCGTTGGAGACAAGTTCTGGTAAGAATAGTTTCTGCTGTGAAGTTTCTTGCTAAACAAAATCTAGCCTTTCGAGGAACAAATGCAAAACTTTATCTAGCAAATAATGGTAATTTCTTGGCCACAGTAGAAATGATTGCTGAATTTGATCCTGTGATGCAAGAACATATTAGACGCATTCATAATAATGAAATCTATCATCATTATCTTGGCCCTACTATTCAGAATGAGTTAATTGGTATTCTTGCTGATGCTGTGAAACAACATATCTTGAATATCATAAAAGATGCCAAGTATTTCTCTGTTATCTTGGACTGTACTCCTGATGTGAGCCATGAAGAACAAATGACATTAATTGTGCGTTGTGTTAATATGTCAAGTGTCATTCCAAGGGTAGAAGAATTTTGTCTAGAGTTCTTAAAAGTTATGACACATCAGGATTGGGGCTTTTTAATGTATTATTGGATGCATTCCAGTCTCTTTGTTTGAACATTGATGATGTCAGAGGTCAAGGGTATGACAATGGTTCCAATATGAAGGGAAAACACCAAGGTGTTCAGACTCGTGTGCTTGAAATTAATCCAAGAGCATTGTATATGTCATGTGCATGTCACAGTCTGAACCTTACTCTTTCTGATATGGCAAAATCTTGCAGAAAAGCTATTTCATTTTTTGGTGTCATACAACGGATATATGCATTGTTTGCACGTTCTACCAAGAGGTAGAAAATTTTGACTGATAATGTTGAGAGGTTCACTGTCAAACCCTTGTCAGATACTCGTTGGGAGAATCGCACAAAGAGTGTGCAACCTATCAGGTATCAAGCCCCTCAAATAAGATCAGCTTTGAAGGAGGTGGAAAGAACTTCTTCTGATGACCCAAAAGCGGTGAGTGAAGCTGAATCATTGGTAACCGCAATTGAGAATTTTGAATTTTTAGTTGGTATGGTTATTTGGGATGATATTTTATCTACTATCAACATGGTGAGCAAAAAGTTGCAATCTCCAATTGTGTGCTTAGATGCTACTCTGAAACAGATTCAAGGGGTGACATCATATTTTCAGAAGTACAGAGACACAGGCTTCAGTGCTAGTATTGAGACTGCAAAATCCATTGCATCTAGTATGAATGTAGATCCGACATTTCCTACAAAACGTCAAGGTAAAAGAAAGAAGCATTTTGATGAAGAAAATGATGAAACTGAGGAATTGCAATTTTCAGCTATAGAGTCCTTCAAATTTGAGTACTTCCTTGTTATTGTTGATCATGCAATTGCTTCATTGACTAGCCGATTTGATCAGCTAAAGAAATTTGAGGAAATATTTGGTTTCTTATTCAACTCAGAAAATCTAAAGTCCTTGGATAATAGTGATCTACATAAGTGTTGCACTATTTTTCTCAACAAGTTTTCTCATGACAGCAAGTCTGATGTTGAGTTAGATGATTTGTTCGCTGAATTAAAAGTGTTGCAAGTAACTTTGCCAGATGAATTGATGTCAGCATCACAGATCCTTCACTTTGTTAAAGTTGCAGATTGTTATCCAAATGTCTCTATTGTATATCGGATTCTCTTAACTATTCCTGTGACAGTAGTATCAGCCGAAAGAAGCTTCTCCAAATTGAAACTATTGAAAAACTGTTTGAGGTCAACTATGCTACAAGAAAGATTAAATGGTTTGGCTATGTGCAGCATTGAGAAGGATATTTTAGATAAAATTGATCTTGATGTTGTTCTTGAAGATTTTGCATCAAGAAATGCCCGAAGGCAGTTTTTTAAAAAGAACTGAAGCATAGCTTTATTTTGAGGTATCCAAAATTTTACTATTGTTTTACCTTCTTAAATGTACTGCTTTTTTTATTGGCTAAATATACATTGCAAGTTATCTTTTATAAATAATACTATATACTCCAATTGGTATATTCAATCTTTAATTAGATTGTCGGGCCCTTAGTGTCTTGCTTGCCCAAGGGCCCTCGAAATTGTTGAGACGGTCCTGATTAACTCTCGATTTACATTTTATCCCTCTTTCGTATTTTTTTATATTTCATTATTTGATGTTTTATTTGTACTCTTATTTGGTACTTTATATATTAAAGGGGTGTATGATATTAGTTTAGGATTTTAAGAGACATTTCAAGACTTTCTCATATTTAAGATTCTTTAAAACTTTAAAATTTTAAAAGAATGCTGGTAAAATCTGATGTCTGAGGTGACATTTTAAATAAGATTTCATGTATGGTTCTTGAAATCTCATCTAAGTCTTATAAAATTCAGGTAAATACAAGTTATAAATAAATTGAATAGCTCCTAATTTCTTAGAACTTTGAAATTTCAAATGAATACCTCATCATTTTAAAATTTTTAAAAATTCAAAATTAAATACATAAGGATTCATATACTCCAAAGATTAGAAGTAAAA